CAGAACGTCTCCAAATTTCTGGTTGCCCTCGAATATTACTCATACAGCTCTTCCGTGTGATATGGACAAAGTTTGTTAGCATGAATGGTTCTGCACAAACCGTCATTAGGCTCAACTAAATGACTTTACGATCGCAGTTTTTTGACCACAGTTATCGGTCTCTTCCGTTTTGCTACTTCCCTTCTCCTTTCTTCTCGATCCGTAGTACTTAGTTCCCTGCGACAAACTGTTTGTCTGTAGTCCTCAAGTTATAGCATCCTACGTACTCATTCGGACTGATTTCACTCTGGCGGACGGCTCTTCACTAGCACCTTGCAAACAACTTCAGAGCTTCGCAATATGTTACACTGCTGGCATACCCAGTGATTCCGGAACTTCTCAGTCCCCTGACCAAGTCTTCCTGAGAATGGATAGGGGCCCGTTTGGCACCAGCCCGTACATGAGTTCGAATGGTGACCACCCCGTAGTCGCATGTGGACCCTCACAATATGCCCATAACAAAAACAGAATCATTATGTGCCACTCGCGGCCTCATTCGCTGATCATGTGAAAAAGCATTTTTTGAACGTGCCATTCCAGCGCTCCACAAATCCGTTACTTTGAGGATGATCAGGTGTGGTAAACCTCAGAGATTCCCCCACTTTTCGCAACATCTGTGCCGATTTACACCTAAAATTGGTGCCCTGATCTGAGCAAGTTGTCTGGCACCACATGTTGAGAAGATATCTACAGTAGCACGTCACGTACAGCACTTCTCGTTAGTGAACGGAGGCATACTACTCCTGGCCGTCTGGTGCGTAGATCTACGACACAAAGAGCGTACAGGTGACCTCTAGCCGAAGTGGTACCATAGGACCAATGCAGTCCATGTTTATTATCAGAAATAGCGTTCTGGGCCTGGCTTTGGACGTTACGGAACCCTATCTATCTGTTTCATTGGGAATTTCACCTGGCATTCATGGCACGTTCTACAGTACTCCTTTACGTCTCGCAACATCAGCGGCCAGTAAATTGAGATTTTCACCCGTTGTAGTGTTTCCTGCTCTCCTAAATGACCTGCCCACGGTCAATCGTGAGCCATCTTTAGCACTTTTTTGTGCTTATGCGATGGTAGCACTAGCTGTTTGCAGGTGCGACCTGCGAGGTGTTTCTGATAACATAATAGTTCGTCTTGAATAATTACTCACGCGTACATTGGCCCGCAGATAGGAGGGGAGTGAACGATCTCTCGCACCCCCTCATTTCCCGGAGGGGATGATCATACGTCTAGGTTGGCGTTAGGATTGCACTCGAACGATTTTGTTGTAGCTAGTGGGTGCACAAAGGGTAATGCAATCGTTTCACAGCCTCCGCTTGCGAAAACGACGGGCTTTTCGGACACATCGAAGTAACAGCTGAGACGCTTATTGGCGTTTACCTGTACCAATGAGTACGTTTCGTGCGTCATTTGTGCGTGAGAAACGAGGAGCAGGCTTCCATCTACTTGCCATTCTGCGCGTGACCTTCCAATTTGTTGCTATCACGTTCATTGCTTTGCTTTCGCGGCAAAGCGGTGACCTTTTTCATTCTACCAACGCCCGAGTTTTTTACAGCAATGGTGACGCAGCTCTTCAGAAAAAAGCCTGCCCGAATCGACAAATTGATAACTTTTCTATGCGCATTGTATGCTGTTACCACGAGCGAAATCTCGCAAGCGCTATAGAGGAACAGTGCTGAAGCATAGAATAAAGGAGCTGCTCATCTCTATCACTCATGAAGCGTATGCGATAACATCGCTCCACGTGCGTTGCCTGGCCTTGGTCGCTCTGGCGCGTGCCCTAGAAGTTTGCCTAAGAATTTGTCGATGCATTTCTACATGGGGCACTATTGAAGAAGCACTTCTCGTGTTTATCTTCAACACGAAATGCTACGAGTAGATCTGAGGCTACTGACAAGGCACCGAGATCATCTACTGGCAGACTTATAACACACGACCCAATGCTGCATACTCAGAAGCTGTTTTGTCACACAGAGATCTGCTGCTTGCAAATCATGTACTACATGTGATCTCCGACACACTACTCTGGACGATGTCTAAGCCGATCGTGCGACTTTCAATCGCAGGAATAACAAATAAGTAAGAAATGCCAACTGCTGGTCTTAAGCATTTTGCTTTGTCTTTTATTGCCCATATGTACAGATACGCAGTGCACATGTTTGCAGATGGCTCTGTCACGCAGACCTCCTCAGCAAGAGCTTTCACTGTGCGACAGATGGGAACCACTCAACGTCTCAAAATATCACACCAGACTTCATCTACTGCTGCTGAGCAGACTGGCGTCCGACAAGCTGCATGCTACATTTTACAGCAGAGTCCAGCAAAATGGATAATATTTTACGACCCCAAGTCGGCCCTTCAGCTAAATAGAAGCTACATAAAACAATACACTGCATACAGTTCTCTGGTGTGTGACATAATGAATATGTTGAATATTGAATTTCAGTCTAGACATGCCATTTTTTTGCAATAGATTTCCAGTCATTGTGCCATATCTGGGAATAAAGAAGCAGATTCAGAAGCGAAAATGGCGTACACTAGCGGTGAAATGATATCAATTCACTTTTTCCAATTTGCCATCAACACCTTTCTGTTCAAAGATATGAAGACATCAATGCGACGACTAAGGAAAGATCCGGATTGTCTCCACGAGCAAACTTATAGGTTTGACTTTTGTCGTGGTTTTCGAGTTCCATTCCGATTAAGGAGAGGCCAGGAAACGCTACTACATAAACGGCGGCTGGGTTTTGCATACACGTGACGATATTTATGCAAAATTGGACAAAAGCTAAATCCTAACAACAACTTGTGTAACACGCCAGAGGCTAATAATCAAATCCTGTGTGCGCCTAGAATACGCACATGAAAGACAATCTCTTAAGCGCCGCACAGATGACCTTGATTGCCAACCCTTTTCGGAAGAGAAACTTTTGGGTGCTTGGGGACGTGTGGATCACGCACAACGCAGCTTAAACTGCCTGCTCGCGTTTCTAAGCAAGGTAGGTTTTAATTCCCGTCTTTAGAGATTCTGACAAAGTAGGGACGTTTGTGCGTGTCCTACACCGAACGAGGCATTGTGTGCACTGACTCATTGTGCTATATCACAATCACCCCTCATCATACCCTCCTCTTTCTTTTTCTTTTCCCCTTACCCTCATGAAGAGTAGCTGGCTGGAAACCTGCTTTCCAGGCCAACCTCTTTTACTCCACTTCATCCTTTTCCTCTTACTCCTATGAGGAGTAGAGGGCTAGAAACCTGCTTTCCAGGTGGACCTCTCCTCCTCCTCCCCTCTCGTGTTCTTCTTCTGCTGAACAAAGTTGTATGAAGTGACGCTAAGATAGGAGGCTGCATGGCTTGACGGGCAAACGTGCACTTTGAATTTAAGGGCATGGTCGTGAGTGCTGGCACGAGCACTGTTTCTGCAGGCATCAGCGAACGGCTTGTGAACCCTTGAACGCGCTTTGATATCACTGCACGAACACTGCTGTTTACGGGAGCAGCCGTATTCTTATACAACAGCGTTTTTGCGTTTGGCGAGAGCGAAAGAAAAGAGTTAGCTGCAACCTTAGTTTGTTATGAGGATACGTGCTCCTATCGCACGTTGTAAAATGGGACGTCATCGATGGGTTTTTTTGACCATGACTCAGTGAAAGTCGCCTAGAACTTACTTTTTATCCCAGAAGACCTGAAATCAAAACTATTTTGAGCTTTGCAAATTGGATGACAGTTCTATATTGGACATGTTAGGCGCATCTTTTCAAAAATTTGAATGCTGTAGCAAATGTCGCAATCTATATCGCAACTTCCTAAGTTTTGTGACATTGGGCGTGAATGCCTCTCAATATATTGCGGAATATTTACACGCACACAATATACTTTCCCGATCACAGCACGGCTGATGTGCTGCTATTTTACTGTTATGCATTGGCTTTAAATTACTCACGACATTGCTTCTTACCTTAATGACAGAAGACAGATTTATGCCATACTTACTAACTAGTTTAAAAGACTTAACATTGTTTGAAATGCAAGACCATTAGCTTATTCACAATTTTCTTGGAGTTGATTGAATCGACGTCACGATTTTCTTGGCGTTGAACATCGTTGATTGAACATAAAAGATAACAGATTACTTGTAGTCGCGCTAAGATTTCGTTATGCTTAAACTCGTGAAGTCATCTGACATACCGATAACATCAGCGATGCCTCGAGGCTCGCTGCTTGGGCCACATTTGTACGCTATTTACATAAAGTCGCGAAAAAAATTATTAGCATTAGAGTAACACTTAAATTAACCTTAGAATGCATGTAGAAGATTTCGTTATCTGTAAAACCATATTTAATGCACAAGGTCAGAACGCACTGAATAATGTTGTTTGTTTCTCGTCGTTTTGTCACTGAAGTGAAACATGGAAAAATGTATTTTAAATGACCATTCACACGGGCTCGAGTATTCTAGCCTTTCTTTGACGCCGTAAAAGTCATGCCCAGTAGATATGTGCTGAATTCTTCTCGCGTTGTTTGCCCCAGGCTCTCCCCTTACTCTATACTCAGCACTATGACAAGAATTGCGGAAACTGCAGTTCGCAAAACTTTTTTTTCGTGGTGCTGAACACCCGTATTAACACCTGCTATTTCCCCTAAACTGAGATAGCGCTTTTGTATTTATAGAACGCTAAGACCTGTTGCTACCACGCTAACTGCTGCTTTTTTTAGGAAACAGATTTTTTATTTGTTGGGACCGAATTACACCCTGACAAACTAATAAATTCACTCCCTCCCTCCTCTTGATGTACCGTTGACAAGCCGCTGCTGAAGGTGGATACACGGCGCGCCACCGCTGGTGATTTTGGTTCTGGCGCACAGGTTTAACATTGGCACGATTTATTTTAAGATGGCATATGACTTTACTAACATAGTTGCACTGTATCATTTTGTAAGCAAAGTGCCCCTGTTTTGCAGAGCATGGCGCAGCCTCAGAACGCATTGACAACTCAAAGAGACTCCAAGAGAAGACATACGTATACTGCTGACAGAGTTTCCTCAGACGACACCACACCGCTTGTGAGTACCGAAATTTGTTCATGCAAAAACTATCAAGATGGTGTCAGTAGATTCCCGAAAATATTTTGAAATAAACATAAATGGGTGAATTAAGTTCTATAACCCTTGCATATCTATCCCACCAACAAGTTCAGGTGGCTCGTATTAACATAGAGAATCCTTTTCTGGCTTCGGTCAATTGTTTATTTGTGGAAACGAGTTACTTTTTCTTCAATGCATATGTGAGGCCACATATCAATATTCACTATCGTCGGTGAGCCCAGTGGGCATCGTTCGTGTCATGTGAGTGCAAGGATATATCTTAGCGTCTTATTGCCTATTGTTTTAGCAGACAGCGTACATTGCGTGAAATAACTTGAGAGCTCTTGGGACTAGACTTCACCAGCTATACACGATGGCAAGAACGGGCCTTGTTCACACTGTCTTCTCTTACGCTTACCTGCCTACGCTTTATGGTGGACCCCTCGAAATCATGCCGGCCATCTGCTTGTCATCATTCCTAAGGCAATCTCGTTGTACATTGATAACACCACCCCAAATGATATGAAGATAAATCTACAAGGAGAAAAAAACATTCTGGCAATTCTTCTCTTTCGTCTCCTTTTTGCTCCATCCAGTTCCTACTTGTAGGGCAGAAAACCGGATTCCCTGGACTGGTTGACCTCCCTATACCTCTCGTTTGCTGCCATTTACTTTATCTTTGTAATAAATGTGATAAGCACGTGTGCACTTAGCATACTGCAGCACGTAACACCACTAGGTGACATCCAAGTCCGGTTCATCATTTAACTGTTAGTGCTACAGTATATTGAGCAATTCACAGATGTAACCCAGAATCAGCATCGCAAACCTTCAAGTGTTGATAAAAGCAGCAAGTGAGAATAACGCCATCGTACGTGTAGGCCCAATGCCCTCTAGATAATTTCAGGCCTGCTTAAGGCTTCTGCCACTGGGTCTGAAGTCAGTACATTTAGACCGGTGTGTTTCGCTTCACCGATGTGCATACAGTTGCTCTCATTGCTCCATAGACAATAATTGCCAAGCCTGATGAACGTGTTAGTGGAGTGATGGTGTGCTTGTTCATGAATCGTGAAGCCCATGGTTTTCAGTGTTCGTGAACTGTAGCATGAATATGTGATGGTAACTGGCTCACAGATAGATATCCCAACGTTTTCAAGGATAATACATCAACTTAAGCAGCACATTTTCGATGCTAAAGGCAGAATAAAATGCTAAGCGCGTAAAACTCACCGCAAACCCTTTATCCTTTAACGGGAGACGATGGTGGCGAAAAATTGACAGCCTACCGCATGCGTGCTCGCTCAGGCAAAACAAGTGACGTCACGGTGAAAGTAAGCAGGCCTGAAAATATTTTTCTAGGTGGCATTGGTAGGCCACCCAGGGGACACAATATGTGTGCAAAAAAAACGTTCAAGGTTCACTTTCTTCCCTCTTAAGCGAAAGTTGGCTATTTTCGTAACTATGATCATTCATTTATGCCAACAGCTATGTGCTATGTCGTCTGGCATATCTGCTAGGAGAATGAAACTTTTGATGCCGTTTGGAGAAATTTATTGCTGTGGCCTCATTGCGCCGAACCCTGCTCAGAATATAACAAAGTGTAACTACAATAAAACGCCCTAACCATCGCGGTGCTCACAGAACTTCGTCCGAAGCTATCTTAAGATAAAGATTTCTATTCTTCAGGAGGTGATTAGAGACAGCGAACTTCACAAAGAGGACGGGGCAACAGCTAGGTGAAAACGTCGTCACCAAAGAAGATTCTCGGGACCGAAATCTAGCATTTATAGGCAAGTCAGACTCTTAGGTACAATCGCTTTCTGTAGTCCAGCGTGGTAAGCACCTCCCGTGAACGAGAAGAAACTGGTAGATCTCTCTCAACAGGACGGCCACCACTTATTCATACGCAACCCGTCAAAGAACGTCAGCAGAGACTACAACAAGCACAAGTACAAAATGCTGCGTTGGAGTGGGAGGCAGATAACCAAGTGGCTGCCTTATTCGCGTGTTATTTCACGAGATCAACACAACATCGGCCAGAAAAGCCAATCAGCTGCCCGATGAGCTCACTTCAATGCTGGCATCACTTGATTAGGCTATGGCGCACCCATCACTCTCTTTGCCACATGAGGACAAAAAAGCAGCAATATTTTTGTGGAATATAGCAGGCAAGGGAAACAACGCATTGTTGAAATCGCTGTACGCCTATGTTTACCCTAATCACACTATTCCAACCGAAGCATAGACTACGACTTGGTGACGATTCCTTTATGTCGTACGCTGTTAGTAAAAGGTTATTGTGTTTGTCTAGCATGACCTCAGTCACATCGTTCAGCCTGTATAAGGAAGGAAGGAAAATATTAGGGAAAGAAGGGCAGGGAGGTTAACCAGCCTATAGACAGCCGATTTGCCACGCTGTGCATGGGAGGAGGATGGGGGAGTTGAAAGATAGAGCAGAGAGGAAAGAGAGATAAACACAGCACAAATGGCAGCACACGTGCACACTCAGAAATAGTCCAGTTTTGTCTTTCGCGGTGTGTGACAATGTTGTTAAAGCCACTTGTTCAAGTTTGTGTGGCATACGAATTTAAACAGAGGTTTTGTCACCTTCTGTTGCAATGTATTCTCTAGGGTAGTTGACAGAATAGAGTCTATAGACACTTGGCTGTTGTCGATGCGTGCAAGAACGCAAGCTAGTGACTGTCTTTGGAAGTCATACAACGGACAGTCGCACAGGATGTGGTGAAGCGTCTTTTCGCAATGACAGGCATCGCAGAGAGCATTGTGGGCCATTTCTATGACAAAAGAATAAGATTTTGTGAATGCCGTTCATGGCCATAAGCGATGAAGAAGGGTGGCTTCTCTTCGATCGAGCCCAGTGGGCATGCGGAGAGCCATCAAAGAGGACGGGTGGTGTTGACGATTCGTCTCGTTGCTAGGTGGGCCCCATAGTGAAAACGTAACTTCATGCGCAAGTCGTCAAAGATTACTGGCTGCATCGGTCCGCGAAAGTGGTATGCCTTCTTCTCGTGTTCCTTCAAGAGCTGCCCACGTGGCAGTATCGGCCTGTTCGTTCCCTATGACGCCGCAGTAACTTGGCAGCCACTAAAACGTGACATCATGCCCTTTCTCGCGTGAAGTGTGGAGAAGGCATCGAATTTAGAAAACATTTCGAAAACAAACCGTTCATACGGTCTGCGACGCAGTAATGAAAGCACAGGTTGTAGGGCACCCCTTGAGCCGCTGAAAATCGACCATTGTTGCGGTGGTTCCTGAGTGACCACACGAAGTGCAGTGCGCAAAGCAGCTAGTTCCGCTGCTGTAGATGCAATGAAGTGGTCAGTCCTAAAGCTGATGGTAACACCTCTTGCTGGGTCAACTACTGCACCTGACAAACACTGGCGGTTCGTGGAGCCATCGGTATATATATGTTCACTGTCTGAATATATCTTGTGCAATTGAAGAAGAAACAGTTGTTTCAGCACGGGCGATGAAAGCTCAGATTTCCTCCGGATCCCTGGTACACTGAGATTTACTGTGGGTCGAATAAGACACCAAGGGGGTATCGATGGTTTAGATGCAGGAGTGAAGCCAGAGGGAAGTTTCTCGTTGTACTTAACACCCATTTTAGCGAACGATGCTTGTGGCCTCCCTGAAATCAACAGTGCAAGGTGTTGACAGGGAGCATGTGCGAAGTGTCCGATGTGCGTTCTCAGGACTTCTACAACAATTTGAGTTTTCATCGGATAGTCACCAGCAATTGTAATTGTTGCCTCTGTTGACGTACATCTGGGCAGACCAAGGCACACTCTCAGTGTTTGGACTTGTACTGCCTGTAGAACACGAACATTGGTCTTGCTGGGATTGCTAAGCATGGTCAAGCTATATCCCAGAAAACTGAGAAATAGGGCTCTGTAGAGTTTTATCATTGCGTCTAGAGACATCCCCCATGCATTTCTTGACAGGAACATTCAACCTGTAGATCTCAAGATAATAATTGTACGCATGCTTAGTTGTACGCATTCTTAAGGAGATGACACCATTATCGTTGTTGGGGCCTTCCTATACAATAACCATCAAGGCAGTTTGGTTTTAACGCTCATATGGTGTGAGGTAGCCAGAAAACAAGCCCGACGTCAAGAATGCGATGTGTTTTAGTTGGGGAAATGAACATTATATGCGAATAATTGTTTTGCGTAAAGCAAGCACTTTGGCGTCTGTCTATCTATCTATATATCTATCTATCTATCTTTCTATCTACCTATTCCATCTATCTATCAATCTATCTATTTATCTATCTACTCATTCTATCTATCTATCTATCTATCTATCTATCTATCTATCTATGTATCTATGTATCAAAAAGATGACAGAGATGACACTCGTATGTTTGAAGAGAAATGAGGGTCAACCCCCCTCCAAATAATTGAACTTGCAATTTTGCATCAAAAATGCACTGTACTCCGACGAAGAATAAACCTGTGGAAGTTTGACGTCGAGTGGCCACTCCAAGAGTGGCCACTCCAAAGTGTGTCGTACACCCTTATTGTGCACCCATATCTGAGCACACGGGCCTACAACATTTCCGCATCAACGGATATGCAACCGCCGCAGCCGCAAGTCGATCCCGCGACCTGCGGGTCAGCAGCCGAGTACATCAGCCACTAGACCACCACGGCGGGGCTGCGTTTTTTATAAACTTCTCAACCTCAATATACCTTTTCTCAAAGAGAGCTGAATTGATTTTAAAATGTCATTGCGTCAGCTACAAAAAGCTAGGAACAATCTGAAATAAAATTATTCCCTGTTTCTTAAAAAACTGAAGCTGTAAAAGACTTACACAACAATATGCACGTTCTGATGCCTTGTACGTGAATATTTTATTTTTTTCAGAACAGCTCCATGAAATCGTAATTTTATTTTAGCTAAATATAACCTATGACTCTCTACAATAACACGTTTATATAATACTAAATCCTTTTCGATAGTTGGAGAGAAAAGGTACAATTAATAGGCGAACCCCCTTTAAAATTTGGGAGTGGACCACAGGAAGAATAGGCAACATAATCAGAAAAAAAGATATCATTTGAAATTCAGTTGCGTTTTGCTTATGTGAGCACGTAAAAGATTGTGGGAATGCCTTAAGCTGTTTCTCACATATTACAATAAAACTGGAATATGCCATTTGCTCTACCGTACTCGATTTACTCAACTGCTCCCAAATTTCGGTTTTCAACAAAAGATTGATGTAGTCAGCCGACTTTGCAGTAGTGCCGGTACATGCGTGAAAAATGAACTGCAGACAGTATTTCGTTGCAAAATTAGTCCGAGCAGTCACCAGCTATAAGCTGCACCTACTTTTGAATCCCGTGCTTCATAGAACATAACCTACTTAATTCACTGCTGCCAGTTAAGCTTCAGCCTTTGCAAACCTTGAAATTTATAGTGCCGACGTTTAAAAAGCTTTAACAGTGTAAGTTCACGTGTAGGTGACCCCACAGGAGCATCGGGTTGTCACGTCTGGCGTCGTGAGTGCGCCAGTGTTGTCAGACATTCAATCTACCCGAGTGTTCATAAAGTTGCGCGTAATAAACTAAGTTGTTCACCAAGTGCACTTAAGTTTATCCTGCTCACTCATGATCACCCAAGGAATAACCTACAAAGCATTGATCAGGAGCGCAAATTGTGTCTCATGTGGCCCCGTTTAAGCACTAGCAGTTGTTTGCTGACTACCACGACAAAGAAATGAAGCAACTACGATACTCTTGAAGGTGACTTATTCTTCGCTTTAAAATTGACTTGCGCAGCTAAATGGCACTGAAGACCCTGAGAGTCACCAGTGTATTGATTTACTGGACATGGAAACAGTTCCACTAGACCCACCTTTTATGCTTTGCGACGAAGCGGTGAGTATACCAACAGAAGCCCACTTGTCAGCTTGTAGGCAGGTGACTAACAGTTGTACAAAGTCGGCGCGAAAGCAATAAGAGGGCACTAATGTAAGTGAAGCATCATTTTGAGCTTGGAACTTAGAGGTTGTGAGATTTGGAGCTTTTTCTTGTTTTTACTGTCACAATCACCTCGCTGTGAAGGTTACAGTTAACGTATGACTTCACTTGGGTATCCTGTAAAAGCATCGAACGTCTTACACAGCGGCACGACACCTGATCAGAAAGTCAGTACCACACACCTAGCTCTTCGCGCCAATGCAATTGATACGTTTGTTACCCAAGCCATTCATTATTTTAGCAAGACGATTATTATCTTATCTGACATTTGCTTTTTAACGGGTTGTAGCTCAAAGGAAGCGTTAAGGACAACTCGTGGCGTCATCCGGAAGTGTGCGTTTGATGGAAGGCAAAAACAAAAGGATTTTTTTTGAAATTCTGGCACTGGATGTGCTAACATTTTATTTCTCTTCAAACTTCGCTTTTATCTGCTTTGTTAGCGAATTTGTTCAGACAGTCTGGGGGAGTTAATATCAATATTTGGCTAAGCTTTGTCATCTGATTGCAAAAAGGGAGTTTTTTGTGTGCCATAGTAGGAAACACGAGGCGAAACAGGGAAAAGAAGCAAATTGTCCTGTTTGTTGATTGATATGCGGGGTTTACCGTCCCAAGACCACCATATGATTATGTGATACGCCGTAGTGGAGGGTTCCTGGAATTTCTACCATCTGGTGTTCTTTAACATGCACCCAAATTTGAGCACACGTACCGACAACATTTTCGCCACCATCGAAAATGCAGTCGTGTCCGCAGCCGAGTACATTAGCCACTACACCACCGCGGTGGGGCTTGTTTGTGGATGTTAACATATCGAATAGGATGAATTTATAAACTGTGAAATATGTGTTGTGAAATACAAATTTCTTTCTTCGTAAAATATTTACGGTGTTTTCAAAGACGCTTACAGAAAGGACAAGAAATCTAGAAGTGCGAGTTTTTTTCTTTGTAGGAATGTATAAACTTATCTTTGTGAGCTACGATGGATCAAAACTTCAACTTCGATAAACGTTGCACTGAAAACCAGAGATTGCCTTCAAGGATGCTTGAAAACAGTGGAACAGCAGCTGTTGTGAGAGTGAACGTTTCTACGAGTGGGCTTGTCAAAACCGTGGGTGCAGCCGAGGTTTAGTTAGTAAAAAAGTTAGGTAAAATGAAACAAAAAAGCCGCAAGGGTTGAGTATGGCGATTCTTTACGAAAGTTTAGAAGCTGAGGTAGGTTCTGTTCTCAACTATGACAGCGACCAATGAAAGTTTGACATTGACAAAATCAATTGGAGATTCTTAAAACGCAGCTTTCCCTCAATTTCGTCAAAAGCACCACTTCCAAGGTTTCGATTTGCTAATTGATTTCTGTTTTATTGTGGGTAAACCTATTTCGCCCGCCATTTACTCCCCCTCACCCATCTAGTTGGCACGCTTATCCTTTTCTTTCCTTCTCTTTTGCTTGGGTTGGAGGCCAGAGCAAAGAATATGCACGCGCAATATACACAACTGTAGTTGTGCCGACGACAAGTCCGCTTGCCTTGGCGCTGGCTGAAGCAATACCCCGCGTTAGAAGCATTATTTATCATGTCACAAAGTGGAATGTATATACTTGCCTTGTTTTATTGTGCGTGAAACTATAAACTGATATAAGCGTAGGAATAGAAGCGGCCGAAGATTGCAAGTTTACACAAAATGCTTGGATCCTAAATACATGACACAAGTAGCTTTTTCACGGCCGTTTTTTTAGCGTGGTCTATTAAGCTATACTAAAAAAGATAACATAACTATTGTATTGTACAGGATGACTTTGAAGCGGCAATGTTTAAATATCAGATGCACTTTTATTGCAGGCGGCAACAGAGACAGTCAACTCGGAGGCATATGCTCACGCTGTGAAACAATACGTACAAGGCATGGAAATGGTAAGGAGCTAAACCGAATATGATTGACGTTACAGTAAGACGGCACATCGTTTGGAATTCTTCTTAAACTGGGCAACGGCACGCCACTTAAAACACAGAGACACGAAACAAAAAATAACGAACAGCAGGGCGCTGATTCTGCTAATTCTCATTGATAGTTCTGAATCATATACATAGCGAGTGCAAAATCCGTAGCATTGGCAAGACACTAGCAGAAAAACTCCCGGTAAAATAAACAAATATAGACATTCAAGATTGTCACAGACAATCAAATTGCTTCTCACGCAGAAAAAACTGAGGCTGCACTAATATGACTCTAAGTGACGTTATAGGTTTCAACAACTTATCTTGTTAATTAGTTCAGGCGTTTCAAATTGACGGTGCTTCTGGTAAAGATGAAATAACATCCACAGGTACTGCGATTGTCTTCCAATCTTTACAAATACAACAAACTGCGTTATTTTCAAATGGTCGAACTAGTTGATAAAAGATGTTGCCGAGGCCAGTGACAACAATTCGAACTCGAGAAGGAATGTCATTGTCTGTGTCATTCTCGAATATCACGATGCTGCCCGGATGTTTTCCTTCTGTCTTGCCAATAACACACACGCTATGCGAAGACTAAAAATAGCAGAGCCATAGGCGCAGCCCACCTCATTCACACCCCTTTAAATCTCCCTTACCTTTCCCACGTCCCTGCTGCTATGTAACATACCTCGTACGAGTATGCTAAGCTCAGTTTCTTATCTTCTATACTCATTTTCTTCTAACTTTCTGCTTAGATCTTCTATTTCTACTGCCTATCCTTTTTGCAGCTTTTTTTCTTGTTCGCTCACACAGAACAGTAAAATCAATGGTTCTCTAAAATTTTCTGATAAAGTCCCTAGCTGGCAGAGTTTTCATTGCGTTTGGGTTCGGACTGTACGTAAACGACTTCGAATCCCGCCTAGACAAAAATGGTACGTTTTATTATTTCTTCTCTGCGCTTTTCTCTACTGTCACACTTCTTTTCTTTCCTCACATCGCCGAGCAGAGGTTGCGCTCAACGCTCACCGCTGTTCTCTTTTCCGCCTCCTTAGCTCAGCACCACTTGTTTACTTGGATTTACTAGCTGCAACCGCCTCAGGCGGCGCAGGAGCAACGTATAGACTGAAGAAAAGGAAGATGGCGTTCGCCCTTCGAGTCTCCTTAGGCAAATGCAACAGAGGCCCTGTGAGTGCTTTTTGTATTGTGATCGCATTACTGCCCATCAGGAATCGACCGGTGACAATGATTTGCACTCTTATTTCAAATGCACGTTATCACGACTTTCTGTGCTTTCTAGGCAACAGCTTTTTGTTTACGTTGATATGTATGGCCTTATTCAGTTCAGCATAAATTCTGACGACCGTGAAAGAATCAGCAAACACCGATTTCTTAGCATAAGGATTTTTGAGAAGAAACAGGCACCACACCCTTTTCTTGGCCGATTGTTCCATATCCCCATCGTCGTCTTCCTCATCTTCCCAGTCTCGCCAAGGCCGCACTTCGGTTCTATAGGCGTTGTAGTCTTTAGACTCGGCCAAGGCTGTGACGTAACATGGTGAGCTGCCGTATCGTCTCTGGCGGGTGAAACTGGCTCGTGTTTCAGTACTCGTTCTTTTGCAGGCCACGATGTATCTTGTAGAAGCGCCGAAGACTCAGGTGGCCTAGATTGACCACTTCAGTGTGGCTGCAGGTCTCGGTCACGCTGCGACATTGCAGAAAGAGTTGCCGAAATCGTCTCTCACGTCGGGCGTTGACCAAGCCATGGTGATTGTTTCTGCATATGCCTAGACTTGTGTTGCTTTACCGTCAGATACTCTGGTGGGTGACATGGGCTGTGTCGGAGTATCCAGGTGGTGCAGGTCTCATTCTTGCTGTAAATTGACGACGCTAACTTTCAGAATATCGGGCACACACTGTGTGAAGGCTACTGTTTTGTTCTTCGTGGGTCCAGAGGCTACGAGTCATCTTAGCATTGCAGGAAAAGGTTCAGGTAATTGCTTGAGTGGCAGGCCTTAATATTTCCAAATTTCCGACGTCATACTGCTGCTTGACTCCTGGCTTTTTGACAACGTGTGATGCGCAGCCAAGCCATTGCGGTCAGAAGCCTTATTAATTAGGTACAAACGTCGATACTGCCAGCTCGTCTTCCACCACATCATTCTCAGGCGTGATACCCACATCAGAATTTTTTAGAGAGACGGCACTTGGAAAGTGGCAAGCGCCTGCACACTCGGTCAATGACGGTGCTGATGTTCGGGAATGACGCAGCTCTTGAATATGCACCGAACCGAGAATAAAGGCTCCAGCTAGTCTGCAGAGATCTAGCATTCACGCGCAGTAAACCGACGCCTCCAGTCACTCTGGCACTGACCAGCTTCACCGACTTACCAGCTGCTGTGGCTTAGAGACGATCTTGGTCTCTGTCGAGGTTGGTTTTGTTGCAGGTACCGATAGATAGACTGACATTAGTAGGGAGGTGTGTACCTGACAGCTAGGATCGATGACTGCCACAAGGTGATTTGTCAAGCTCCCCGTAGAGTAACTAGAGGCTGCAGCTGTACCAAGATCTGCTGCCCCTCGTAGCTTGACCCCAAGGCAGAGCAGGTTGGCGGGCCCTCAAACTGCACCATCGAGGTGATGCATTTCACAGCGCCCTTCCAAGGTAGAGCCTGGGTCGGCAGGTTTAAGGACGGAGGCGTGAATAAATATGTGAAATACATGCCTTTACCTTGAAGATCGTTCAGGCCGAAATTGTTGTTCAGCGCCTTCACAGCTGCACCAGGTTTTGGCAGCTTCACGAATGCGGTCAATGTCTACCAAGCATTTCCTATGATCCGGCCAGGCATAGCCGGTCGCAAGAGTGCTTGTTTTTATCCACAGGTCAGCATCATTCTGGAATCCTGGGAACTCCAGAAGTTAATCCGTACAGCACTGAGTACAAAAGCGGCAAGGTAAAGAGACTCCCTGAACTAAGAGAGGACTGGGCACTCCCTTGGGAGAGAAATATCTTGTCCAAAAGTTCACTCTCTGTTTTAGAGTATCAGTTCCAACCACTGGTAGCGCAGTACAATAATTCATAACTTCGCACGGCGAAGCCATATTGCTCCTGGGCAAGGAAGGACGTCAGCCACATGACGTCATTGGGCAGGTCGGGTGAGGAGCCGCAAGAACCAGGAGTGACGGCTGTGGAGATTACTGCGACCCTAGTACATCTTCTGGTGTGCTACCTGGAAAACCATTGCCGGTGGCCATTGCCGCGGAATATTTAGACGTCTCAGTGATCACAACGGTGATGTTCTCAACCAGTGACAACTGGTTTCAGTAGCGTTGAGTTATTGAGGAGGTCTGCACGCCTTTCCTGTCAGGGAAGTGAGTGATGAGGAGACTCGAATGCCATGCTTACTGAATGGTACTTCCTGCGGCGGCCGGCTTGCGGTTTCTCTGCCCGAGGAAGCAAGGATGGCGTTTCCTGGACTGACGAACAAGTACTCGCGGTTTCTCCTTAAAGAGTTTCTTTCCAACGACTGTACCATTGCCGACAAGAAACAGACACAATACCTATTCACTTTTATCTTTCTCGTCCCTGCGATGTGCTAGTTCTTACTGGATTGAAACGTGTTGCGAGATAACTATAAAACCAATCAATACTTCATATAACCATCGTTGTTCCACCTTTCACTCGTGCTTTCATCTAGATAAATTCTTGCTTAAACTTCGAAAACTTACCTCCCCTTACACAGCAGCTGCTAAACATTTGGGTCAAGTTAAAGGCTGTTGCAAATAACGACCAATATTTTTTTGACGGCATCACACGTAATTTTTTATGCGCTTAAGTTGTGAACAAAGAAATTGATACAAAGTTTGACGCATGGAAAGCAAGCAAGCGCAGCACAGGGCCTACTTTGATTGGGCTTTAATGCAGAATTGGAAGCCAAAGCTGTAACGCTGATGTAGGTGAGCAAAAAAAGGGTCGGGAAAGTTATTTTGACATCGGCACGGGCACAGAACACTCGCGAGATAAAAATCTTCGTCGTACATACAGATGAACCGATAGGTAGCCGGCTGACGACAAAAGAGATAAACCACAATGATTGCGCTAGATTTTCCCCGTCGTTTTGCTTGAACAGTGAGAAGAAGGTTTGACGAGTGCCACCTTCAGTTTGTCACACGTGAAATAAGGCAGAGGAAGTAGCTATAACATTGGGCTTAGCACAAACACAAGTAGAAGTATTCACCTGTGATTTGCAAACAGCGACATCAAGTGTCGCAAAATGGTATAATCTCCTCAGACGCACTACGAGTCGCAAAACTCCCTATTAGGCATCAGAAAAGAGGCCAATCTGATATGAATACCCCTTCTTACAACGTAGCGATTAGGGTGGTCACCACATGGCTCGAGGGCTTCCAGACCCAGCACCGGTTTGTGAAGCCTCCGGCAATACGATCAGTCAGAGTGGGAAGACTGAATGACCAGCAATAAAGTTTAATGGAATAGCTGATCACAAAAGTGTACATTCTTAGCAACTCGCCAAAATTGAACCAGAAACAGTCTGTTTATTGACGGTTGGTACAAACCTAATTTAACCTCAGAGCAGCTATCTTGAACAATATACGCCCAGATGTTGAAGCGACAGGCAGTGCACATTCTGTGCCAATGTCCCATTTTAATGACTAATACCTGTGGTGCAGCCTTAAAGAGTGACCAACTCCGCACGATCTGCGAGCTTACGCTGCTAATCACTGACCTAGAGCACCAATGCTGGACCGTCCAAGACCATAAACCTTAAGCCGACGCCAAGACGGGATCCAGACCCGTACCACCGAACATATTTGGTCGGAATAAAAACTTTTACTACACGCACAAGGCGCAAGTGATCACTCCATTAGGGAGAAACAGAAAAAAAGCGCACAAGAAATTCTGTTACAAGAACCTTTTTCTGTTTTCTTTTTTTCTCGACATTCTCTTAACAATT